AAAATAATTCTCAGAACGGCTGTAATAGGTCAGTGTTCTCAACTAGGATTTTTGGATGGATAGCCCTACCATCAATCAACACCATCTGATTCTTTGGATATGCAAATAACAAAATGAAGGATAATTTGTGCTAATTATATGCATGTTATTCCGTTGATTTAGCGATTTAGTTCATTGAAACCATTGACAGCTCATTTTGAATATTTTGTTTTATTTGATCAAATTGTATGTGAGAAATACGTCATAAAAGGGTAGTATACCACTGTGGTTGTCACCATCATGTTTGATATGGGTCCCACATATGGCGTATACATGTACAACATATGTAAACGATAAACAAACTTTAAACAAGTACCATATGACTTAAAGCTGGAACTACTACTGTGGCAGTATTTTGACCTCACTTGACGCAATTATGGCTTTACAATTGTTGTTACTAGCAGCCTGTCATGGCAGAATTAGTTGATTACTTTAATCAAGCATTTACTGTTGAGTCAACATAAAATTACCATATATGACTGTGATTTTACTGGTGTTGCCTTCCCACATAACTCATCATGCATCCTTACTTACCACAGTACCTTCTCATCACTGTTTATGTGTGGATAGATTATTGTATGTGTGGTTGTCATGACATGGTTGTACGGGTTTGCTAAGGAAATGTTTTCGTGGGTCTCACTTCACAATTTCTTACTTAACTGTTATGTTCACTGGTGCTTTATTTTGTGTGTGTTTTATTTATAATTTCTCACAACTCTCACAGCATCTCATCCTCGCACAATATCTATCTATTGCAATTATTATAAAGGGACACGATTTCCATGTTTTGGCATAGTTTATAATCCATGAATAAAATTGTCACATGGCGTATTTGACACTGCACCGTATATTCATTTTGGCTTGTAGCTTATAAATCATTGTTGATATAATCACAAATATTGTGTGATTTCACATAGAATTATCCCCTAAGATTTGATTGTGAGTGTGTCTACTCTATGCGAGTGTCACAATTGATGCTGTTCTTTTTAGAGTGTCTCTTCAGTGTCTCATGCTATGCTACTACTTGAGCCAATTATAGGTGTAATTCCAGTGAAGTGATCAGCTTTTCATATTTGTCATGTGCTAAAAAAATATGATTGATACTGTAAAAATGATACTTACTTTTAATTAAAAAAAATAAAATTTAGTCAAACACATGTTGACTGTATTTTCATTGTTGGCTGATGTACGACGCCTACAATGATGTGCTCATCAAAAAAGTCAAAACATTATTTCAGCAAACCCCATGCTGCCTGTGTATTGCTATTGCCTCTTTCTACACCACTCCTCTATAATTTTATGATCACTGGCATCTTGACTGCTTGCAAGCTGGTTTGACCAACAAAATCAGATCCCGGCATTGTTCCCTGTGTTTGAACCATTCCAGTTAAGCTATACCACCTTGGAATGAACGTTCTAATTTGATCTATGAAATGTGTGTTTTTCTCTTGTTATTTTAGACCGGTTCGGTTCATTCAGATATTGGAAAAAGAACAAATGTAAGATAATTTTTCAGTCATATTTCTCTTCTTCTACATTCTATTTGTATGTAAGTGGTATATTTAACATAAATACAGTAAGTTGATAATAAAAAAAAATAGAATACTGTGCAATGAGAAGATCACATGTAACTTTAGTAACCCAAGGTAGGTAAAAGTAGTTTATATTTATTGTCTCTAAGATATGCACAATGCTTTGATTGTAATGCATATTAATTAAGGCAATTATTAAAAATCCAAATGCTGTGTGTTTTTAATTTTGCTCTGTTTTGATCAAAGTTGACATCATCCCTCAACCATACTGTGTTTACTGTTTATGTTTGGTGTTATGGGCTTCCAGTCATATGACTTGAATTGAGCACTCAGATTTGAGTTTCAAAATCTATTTTCATTCAAGTTTCCATTAAAGCTATGACTTCAATTAGATTCTTGTATAGCCTGGCAAATAACCCCAAAAATGTATTATAATCATAGTACATTGTATATGGTATAATTTGATATAAAATAAAAAAACTTGAGCCATCTATAGCAGTTACTTAAAAGATGATTTTCATTGAACAAAATTCTTTTTTTTCCTGCTTTATCTGGTGTTTGATAAACCAACTGTCTTTAAATCCAGCTTCTAAGTGATCCTTTCCTCTTTATCTCCTAGTAAATTCATGACTCTAACTTGCTTAAAGCTGTTGTTTTGTGTGTCATGTGCTCTTGTTTGTCTCAAAATGCTTATTGTATTCTACTTTGGCTATTCTGAAAAGAATGTTATGGTGAGCGATTACACCAATGGGTGACCAGGAAGTTTAAAATTACTTAAAATATTTAGAAATTGCTTAAATTTCACTAAGTATTATAAATGCTTGGTTGTTCATGCATGGTGTAGAGCGAAGAGCTTAATCTGAACATGTGTATTCATTTTAGCAGGCTTTAGATGTTGTACGACAAGCCAAAGTAGCAGAACTTCTAGGTAACGAAGCTGGTGCTGAACACGGTGGTGTTAGAGATAAAAAAGAGGAGAAGGTGGCTTATGAAAAAAAGGAAAGCGGAAAAGAAGAAGTAAGTTTAGGAGTGGAGTGGCAGGGGGTGAGTACAAGTACAGTGTTTTTTCATGGCTAAATCTGAGTGATGGATAGCTAAATTCTTTGTAAGCTATCATTGGCAAGAGATTTGCATGCTCCTAGGCTATGGCTGTATTTTACTCTCTTCTCTCTATTCACATAATGGATGGACATTCCTAACCCTACTAAGCACCTGATAACACAATTCTTTCACCTGATAATCTTTACAAAGGAATTATTTAAATTAGCTGATTTGTTTTAAAGCTCTAACCATAATTGCTTTATTTATTGTAATATTTATATAATATTGTTTAATTTATTTTGCATATTTCTGTGCGACATTTGAATTAATTATCAACATCTTAAATAATATTTCTAAATATGCTTTTGATGCGGTTGATGTTTTTTACTAACCACAAACACTAATTCTTGGTTTTACGTTTTCACTGGCACCGTTCATTGCATGTGATCTGTTTTCACAACTTTCTGTTTCTTGCAGACTCTGGTCGTATTGGTTTAATATTGTATATTCTGTACATGGCTTGTGTTCTTCTCCCTGTGTCCGCATGCCTGTTGTAGTGGCTTACTCATTTGCATGTTTTGAATTGGTTTTGAGAGTATGAATTAGACTGAATAGTTACAGACAAATTTACAGAAAATATTATATTTAGAAAATTGCAACTCGCAAAATCTTGAAATCGGGGGAAAAAACTAAGTAAAGGAAAACAAATAATTTGCACAATAGATTTTCTGAGGGTAAATCCCCTTAGCACAATCTTACTATTGGGGGAACTGAAAAAATCAAACCTGCTGCCTTACATGCAAGAGGAAGCCATTACAATATAAAACTGTTAATATTCTTGTAGTGTTTTTTTTTTGTTTCATTATTGTATTCTTGTTTGTAAATATGTTAGTTTCTTTGTAAAAGCACTGGTTTGTTTTATGCTTTGTATGTTTTCACACAACTTCTTGAAGCCTGTAGGATTCAATCAATAACCACATCTATAAGTAGTGATTCTCTTTCGTGTCAAGTTATATATTTTGTAATGTAGTTAGTATTAGTTGCTTGTTTTCTGAATACTCTGTGTCTTGTCATTTTGCTGTCTGCAGTCTTGATAGGTTGCTGTGATTGTGATTGTCTGCTTTGTATATTAGAAGCAAGGAATTAAAATTTTGACATGTGTAGGATTTACTTGTTTATATAACTGTCTAAGGCAAAGTAGTTGACAATCACATTGACAACAACTTGAAACTAACATTGTGCAGTTAAACCAGACCTCTACTAACAACATAATCTCTCTTGTAGCTTTTGATATTAACATTATTTCAGAGACACTAAGCATTAGAAGCCTTTCTGTTCACAGCATGTCTTCCCATACTTATTCAGCCTAACCCGAGGTGTCAGTCTTGCCCTGTGCTCTTATGCAGGGATAAACAAATTATTTTTTTGCTTTGTATATATATATTTTTTTGTTCATTAATATGGTGACTTCAGCTGGCATGTAGAGACCAGTTTTTATACAGCAGAGGTTGCTTAGCTTGCTTATTTTGTTTTTATTTTCAGCCGATAGTCCATCACTTAGAGATAGCCAAGTATGTGGAAACACTGTCTTGTCCCCACACCCTTGTGTTGTTTGCCTTGAATCATTTTGTTGTTTGATTTTTTATGTTTGTTTATTTGATTGATTGATTGATTGATTGGATGATTGTTTGTTGTGATGAATCTGGTCTACTTTCTTTTCCAAATAACTTTATTGGAAATTTCTCATTGATGTATTGTATAATGAAACATTTACTGACACTTGTGTGAGTAACATTACCATGGTATGTATAATTTATGCATTCAAAAATGAAAAAAGTACATGTATATGTTAACAATTATGTTGAATTACAAATTTCATCCTGACTCCTACTCTGTTAGATTCTCAAATTTTTATATTCAGTTTATCGGAGTGATATTTGCAAGAAAAATGACATGCTTGATGTTATCAATTTAGAGTCAATGTGAGGTTACTATACAAGAGTGTCCCTGATTGGCTACCCAACCCTAGCTCCTAACAGACAGACCAATCAGAGTGCAGCTTGTTTGATAATAGTTGTTGAATCAAATTCTTCATTATATATATGCTTTGACTCAATGTCAATTTGTAGTATTGTACTAGTATTCTGGGTGGGGTGATCTAATGAGGAATTGCTGATACATATGAATGAAGAACCACAGCAGCATCCTCCATGGACAAATACATATGTAGGTGATTATAAAAATTGAATTAATGGCTGGCTGTCCTTACCTACTAACGCTTGGCAATCTGCTGGAATTACTCACTGGTAAAGTATAATTAACATGCACAATGAGAATATCAGACAACACGTCCTAGTTACATATTCCCAAATCAAGACTCCTAGTACTTTCTTTCTTCATCTGTTTTTCCCCCCCATTTTATTCATCCTATTGTTCTGAAATGTATAGCTTTATTTAATTTTTACTGGAATACTTGTTCTGATCTTTAATTTTTTTTTTTTGGTTTTTCACACTTTGTAGATTTCTCTTTCTTTACAGAACCCTTACCTTTTAGATCCTGTGTACGAGGATGAGGTAAATGGCCGTGTGTATCCAACTAAAATCTCATCCCATGCACCGTAACTCTGACATCCCTCTTAGTACTTGTATAATGGTATGACCCAAACTCCTATGTCATCACATTGTACATGGAAATTGGGGGATGGGGTTATTCTGTAAAATATAAATCCCATACATAAAACATGCTGCATTACAACTCACTTTCAATGCCATAGCCATAATGCCTTCCATATCAGGACATTTAATTATTTTATTTTGTACTTTTGCCATGTATGCAGAACACTAGTTGTGATCAGCAACAACACAGCGTCTCTAGACCATTCATATTTCTGTATGTATCATTACATGTGACGCAAGCCTATTGCCAGACAGCTTTTTTGCAAAATCACTTTAATAAACTGTATTCTTTTTGCCAAGCCTTGTATGTAATCCGAAAATTTGTTTGTATGAATAAATATACCCTGTATGTATGTAAGTGATTGGGAGTGATATTTTGAAGAATCGCCACATGCTGTATTTGAATAATGTATCTACTACTTTTCTTGTATAGTTTTGATTCACCTGTTTGATATATTGTGATTGGTTTTCCTAAATACTATATTTGCTCTATTAGAAGTGTATATTTCAGAAAAAAGTGCTATACAATATATCCCGTACATCACAGACTATGGATCAAGTTCTTATCCAAAGGGGTTATCAGTTTCCATAGTTAGAACTTCAGTGTTGTACATTTTTATAGAACGCCAAAATGAGAACATTCTTTTATTTGTGTTTGTGCTACAAATAAATGGTTACAGATATACCTGATGGACTGCCTAATATTACTGTGACACAGCCAACTTTTCAACATTCTGGCCCTTGTTGATTTTCAATCATATAATCTTCTAGTAGAGCATATATGGCATTGATATGGTCTATAACACTCAAACACGGTATGTGTATCTGAGCGATTTGAATTTTACATGTATTCTGTTTTGTAAATTTCTGCATTCTTGTATGAACACTTTTTGTACAGAATCTGTCTATTAAATTAAGGTATTGAATCATGCCTTGAAAGACAAATGCATGCAAATAGATGGTGTTTTTAAGTCAGGCACTTTCTACTCGGGTAAACTTTCAGTAAAAATGTTCATGTTTATCCCCTATGAACTGAGCCATCTACTTGCATGCCAATCTGTGTTTCAAAGTATGTTTTATTTCCTACGTTAGTGATAGTACCGGTAGATTTGAAAAAGAGAATTTGACAAGATGTCATGATTACCAAAGATTTTTAGTTTATGCTTTTGTGTTTTGGGTGTCATTCAAGTTGCATCTACCACTGAGGAGGGACATGGTCAAAGGGGGAGTAATTTTTTTTATGCACTGTAGGCAATAGTGATGTGCAACTGTTATATCCAGCAAGACATATAAATATTTCTTTTGCAATGACCTGCTGATTCAATACATGCCCTGCTTCATCAGTATGCTAATTATATGCTGATTGTATGCTAATAATATGCTAATAAGCCTCTCAACCACTGCCATTATGCTTGTATTCCCAAAGCATATTAATTTGTACCTATAGTGAAGGAACTTGCATTTTGAAAAAAAAACAGTGATGGATTGGTCTGTAAATTTATTGACTTACAAAGATGTGTCAGAATTAGTTTCATAACTCAGACAACCAAGAAATTTACCAGAATTTCTGGGAAGTAGTGAAATAAATCCAAATGAATTAGGAACCGCAGTAGTCACATTACAACTATCACTGTGATGAGTATCATCATTTGGATTACTTGCTGCTGGTGGTTTTCATTATATTGCTGCTACAGTTGCTCATCATTATTTAGCCTCCATGTTTTACCCGGTATGTGCTTATGGGAAGTTAAAAACAATGTACGGCTGATATTGTGAGGTTACCAACATACCGTAAATCTCAATGTTAACTTTTTGTTGTTAATCACCAGGAACAATGTTTACTAGCAATGGTATGTACTAATTTAAAACAAATTGTACTCCTAGAAATCTGCTTTTTACTGTTGTAATTTTGAAAATTAGAGTATTTCATCAAGATAAGTTATTACCACAGTGTACTTAGGGTCCTGATTTGTACTTTTTTTCAAAAAATGGAATTTTTTCTTACTTCCCATGGATTCTTGCACGATACAAGACCTCAAGGTTAAGAGATACCACAGAAAATGTCAGTTTTTTCCAGACACCTCTGGTTGGGCAACATGCTTGCCTGTACTATTTGCACTGCCTGTCAAATACAATAAAATATGTAACAATATTGTCTTGCCAATTCATATAGCTTGCAGACCTTTCTTTTCCAACACCTGTTTGCTATGCCACTCGTTTAACTGAAACTTACATTGAATGTACTACCTCAGTACTTTTTTTCTAATTGCTTGTGAAAAAAGAATGATTATTTTAATTATTTTAATTATTTTACTTGGTTTTTCATCATGCCTGGCAATTTGCATTTTTTCATCATTTCAAATATCAATGTATTTGATTTCTCACAGTTGCTTCATATTAATTCATCATGTGATCAGCATGCTTTATGCTAAAGAATGGTACCACCTTGCATTATAATCACAATTCTTAAAATCACTTTTTTGTTTACACTTACGAGGGTTCTGCTTTTCATTGTATGCTAATACTCACAGTTGTCACCATCTTCACCAGAAAGAAAAAAATCGACAGTCGTCCATCACCTGTGTTTTGTTTTTTTCCATTTCCAACATGTGTTGTGATGCTGAATTGATTTTAATTTCTTATGTTGCCTACACCAGAGTGGTAATGGGAAATTGAAACGCAGTGGATCGTTCTCCAAATTACGAGCCTCCATCAGACGTGGAAGCGCCAAGCTGGTCAGCAAATTAAAAGGCAGAGAAGCCGAAGGGGAACCCACTATGACCACAGGGTGTGTATGGGTTTTCAGATTTTAGTCAGTCACTGCTTTGACAGCTATCTTTATTTTTTGTTTTATTTTATCAGCTAACCATCTTGGAATCTTATTTGTGGTGTTCATTTTCATTACATCATTAAGGTTGAGGTTTTTGGTTATAAACTTCTTTCAGTGTTATTGGGTTTAATTGTATTCTAATTAAGTAAAAATTCTTCCCATGTCAATTACATAATATATCGTATGTTGTATTTCATTAAATTAGTGCTAGTATTTCCTACCTGGCTTATAAATGCCTGGATCAGTTTAGATCATAGTTTGGGTTGAGAACATGTTTTCTGTGTCTTTAAGTTCTTAAGAACGCTAAGTTATAAAAAAAAAACACACAAATCTATGGAGTATTTGTAAACTGCGTCCCTTACAATTAAATCTGTACTGGTATTTATTGCTAAAACTTGCCAAAGAAACTATTGTAGCACATTAAGCAGCAGCAATTGCCCAGTAAGAAGTTTGATGCCATTATTAAAAGCATGCTTACCCAAAGCTTCTGCATGATAATGGTAGAATTATATACTGTAGTGGTATTCTATCTTGGCTGCTGTATTTCCTTGTGTTGGTCTATGATGTATTACCTCACCTGGATCCTCCCCTTTTAATTCTAAAAAATACTAATAATAGTAGTAATAGTAGCTGCACCTATAACAATGAACCAGTCTCTGTCATCTCTCCTATGACTTCTGATTCCTTCATTTGCTTCTCTCATGTTAAAATGCATACAATACTATAGCTGGCCATTTAGAGTAGACGATGGTGACGACGATGATGACAATATAGTAAGTCAGCTAGGGGTGTTTGTGGTAGAATTCTCTGCCTCCTGTCGCAATCTATCTGATCCCGATAGGATGCATAGGATGTGGTATGAACACCTTTACAGTTGCCTGAATAACTAGTTATACTGTGTATTTTTTTTTAATTTAAGTTTGAAGTTGTGCTGTCTTTGGAAATGGCTAAAATTAAATTTAAACTTATCCTTGCCATAGAGGGCGCTTTCTATGAGCTCATAATGTGCGATTTTAATACTAACACTTAAAAGAAAAAAAAGTCCTCCCTCAAAGCAAAGTTTGTACACAGAGAATAATAGTTGTATTCAGTGGTCTTCTCAGATCACTCACAATTTTTACTAATCGGTCATTTTTAGACAGTAAAACTTCAGCGCCAGCTTCTGTAAAGAAAATTGCTACCAGATAATGTTATGTATGTGTGTGTGTACATGTGTATGTTGAAATGATTCTAAATGTACTTATGATTTCGATGGGATCTACCCATTGACTTGTCATTTTACTTTCACCAGCCATTCATATTTAACTCTTATTGGTTTTGGAAAATATCAGATCTGTCACTTGATTTATCTAGCTTATATACTTTTCCTAGGAGGGAATCTTTTGACAGATACTGGTTTATTTGAAAAATAGAGTTCCCACAATGACAGTGTCCTACATTCTTTGCTACGTTGCCTTGTAATAACGCCTGCACTCTAGTGCATGCTATTCTTATTCTTTTGCAGCTGTTAAAAGCATTTGGTGTCTTTATTTTCTTTCTGCTAGCAGGCTGTTTACGTTAGCTCTTTGATTTGTATCACAGTTTAAGGCAGCACCGATAATACATACCCCATAGTTGTCACGCTTTGGAAGCCATCAGGGTTCCTAATCTCTGACCTTCCTTGAAGACATATCCATCTGAGGGGGTGTCAGTGGTATTTGCCTCCTCCCATCAACTTGTTGGAAACAACTAATTGTTTATCATGTTTTAATCATTTATGTCTACATACCAGAACACACGTCATGATATTCTATCCATCCATTTCTATCCCTATTGACTGAATTCATTCTACAGACACTCATAATCCTACCAACCAGAACCCCTTCCCCATGATCCTAACCCTTTGTGAGTTACCCATACTAATGTACCCACCTTCTCCTTTGCTCCTCATCCTCTGTGTACACCACTGTTCTTATCTTTACCATTTGATTTCTACAGACTGTTACAGATTGCTCACTGATGATATTTTATAGTAGATGCGTAACCGGTAGCAACTATACAACCTTGTATTTTTCTATCTCTTAATTTCTTCCCTTCTGTAGGAGCATGAAAAGAGCAAGTTCTTTATCGGTACTAAACAGTAATAGTAGATATGCTGATGAACAGGTAAGCTGTACTGCAACAATAATCTGATATTGAGTCTACTGCATGTACCTGTGCTACATTTGACATACAGATTAATATGGTCATGCTTATTCTTTTTTTTTCAGCCCATCATGGCTAGTCGTCCTTTAAGCAGAGTTGGTAGAGTGGGTAGTCATGATGCACTAACAACGAATAGAAGAAGAAATTCGGCGCCCAAATATTCAGAATTAGCTTAGCTCTTTACAACTATAACCTGCTCATCCCTATGTATGTTCTATGTAGTTTGGTATGATCTTATTATATAAAGTGGCCCAGTCCACTACATAGAAACTAAGAGGATTTGCTTGTCAATGTTAATATAAAATTGTACAACCCAGTCTTATAAATGTATTATCAGAAATGTAAACTTATTTCCTAATATTGAAAATGTTTTTTTTGTTTTTTTTAAAACCTTGAGATGCATTTCTTATATATATCACTATCATCACCACATTCTGATTCATGTAAATGGTATTGGTGACTGTTGATTATTATGTGAAACGTGTATTGTCTCGTGTGAAAATAATGTCCCTGCACTACCCACCACTTTGTGCACTGTATCAATATATTATACCACACCAAGCTCATCAATGGCATTACAACCAACACAACTATTTATCATTTAAATGTATGATATGTTAGATGTTTAACTACTAATACTAGTAAGGTTGATTTGTACTGGTGTATTCTGTAAATTACCGGTAATAATGTATGATACCTCTGTTCTAGTAGTGACTGATGAAGAATGGATTAATATATAGTTTAGTAAATTGTAGATGTATTTGGAAGTCAGAATTGGTTGTGATGAGAATCATTGAACTTGATTTCGATTGAATGATTAACTATCAGTAACCGTATATGTAATAGCTTACGTTCATGCTGATTCTGTTAACTATCAGTAACCGTATATGTAATGGCTTACGTTCATGCTGATTCTGTTTTCGTCAAATACTACATTGTAGCAATGTCTTTCTGGTATTGAATTATGACACATGCCTGGTGTGATGTGTTGAAGGACAAAGAACCTGTAATTTTTAATAAATAAATACAATGTATTGTCAGATATGCAAAATAATACATGTTACTACTAGTATGAATGCATCTTGGCCCATGTATACCTAACCATACATGGTGTTCATTTTAAACTAACAGCAGACCAGTTCCCATTGTCTATTCAAATTAGCCTGAAAGAATATATGAAAACTGTACATTTGTTCACCTGTCTGTATTTTACACGTATTCAATAAATTGAACAACCTGGTAACACTGTATACATGTATAGAATTGGATGCAAATAGATGACATTATCTAGCTTCGATCATCTTGCTGTCAATACTGACAGTGATATCAATTAAGTCTTGCTTTTTTACTGCTACTCCTATATTGAAAAATGGACTGGCCCATATTAAAAAAACATCTCAGATCATACCAAATTTTTCAGAATATAGGGGTGGACAGTTTCTAGAATAATTCTTACATTAAATAATTTTATTCTTACAATAGTGTGCAAGTCATGGTAGACTGCCCTAAATCATGGCTCTGTGGAATCACACTTTATTATACATCATAATTCTAGTTGTACTTTGTGTAGATGTCTAGACAACTTTACTGTAACAAAGCTTTTCAAGAGATGTGTCTTTGCTTATTCTCTGCAAAAGCCATGTATATTGTGTATATTTGCTATAATTCTTTTATATTCTGTAAACATAGGTCTACGGTTAATTTTAATTGTTGGCTTCATACTGGCGACATGCACAAGGACAGCTTTTCAATGTCTTGTGAAATATATATATTTAAATGTGAAGGCCTAATGTTGTGTAAAATATTGCCAACTTTTCTCTGTAATCATCACCTTTGCTGTATTCAGTAAAATATTTAAAGTTCAATCTTGACAAATAATCAAAATGGCGAGAAATTGGTGGTCTTCGTACAAATTTATTTTGCAAATTGTATATTTGCTTCCTTTTTTTTTTTAAGCATTTCCCCCTCTGCAATTCTGTTGGTATTCTCAGCATTGTAAATACCTGTTACTTTCTTATCAGCTGGCATTCTAATTTGAATCATTTATTTACAACCTTGGTATTTTATACATTCCCTCTCCACATCGTAGTTGCAACACATATTGTCATTCAAGAAACCAACCACTTTAGGGAGTGTTTGTTGTTTGTCTCTGTTTATGGAAAGCAGGAGTGTCTACATATATAAGCAGTGATATGTAAGGCAGTCAACCAGCTGACCTTCATTGCATTTGGAGTAAACACTTCTATTCTCCAGTCAACCAAGCTAACACCCTTTTCCCCCCCACCTGTGGTTAGATTTCATTGTCCAAATCACTACTTTTTGATGCAGTCTAAACCAATTTTGCTGGTATTACCGTTTAGAAATAATGAAACTTGCTTTGGTTGATCAGATGAATTTTCCCATATTTGTGTTTCTGAGCTTAGTTTTCATCAACTTTTGTTGCATACTGGGCATTTACCCCTTTTATGCTGATTATACAAAACTAAATGAACTATTCTAAACAGTGGGTTGATGCACATGTTCAAATAAAGCAAGTTTCATTTTTATTAGTTTAGTGAATAACCAATCACATCACATTACAGCACTGCCAAATGTAACTTATGATTTTACAAAATATTGGCTAACATGTCCTGGATAAACTTTTACTACTGCCCTGTTCTATCACGTTATGTACCGTAATAATTTTAGAAGCTACCTCTATGCATGATTCTTAGGATTGTTTTTAGCTGGATATTTAAAATGGTTGGGCAATATTTTTAAATGCTTGTGAAATTTTTCTGCAAAATAATGTATGATGTAAGAATTTTGGTGAAATACTGTGTCCTTGCACAAATAAAATAAATCATAGATATTGCATCTGAACATGTCAATGAGTGTTATGTTTACAAAAAAAGAGGAAATGCTGCATGATTTATCCAAAAGCCTTGTACTTTTAATGAACATAGAATTTTAGGGGAATAAATCTGGTTTTTAAATTAGAAACCCACTCCAAAGTACAGAATTCCTTTGTTCAGTTTGTTTTTCAATTAATCTTCTATTTGCTAGTATAACTAGGAACTTCTTCTATGCTGTCTCAATAGTCAAATTTGTTTGAATTGTGACTTGAGAGAAATTTTTATTTTCAATTCCCTTGAATGAACGCGATTGAAGTGAAAGATGTTGTTCCAGTAACAAACAAAAGTTTACCCAGGCCCTAATACATTCTTTATAAACTATAATTATATGAGTATGAAAGGTATTTTCAGCCACTATTAACCCATTGTTCCAAAATTCGTATTGTGAAAAACTGTAGGTTAATCGAAAGTGATTTCGGAAACATTTGATAATAGCGCCCTCCGTGTCAGATTAAGATAATCTTGAATTTTAGAAGCTCTTATAACTGAATTTAGTCGGCTAAAATGCTTCTTGTAATTTACAACCAAAATGTAATGTATGCAAAAATGACAGCATAAACAAATGTAGGTTGGGTAAACTTTAAATTAAATTACTTGCACAAAATTATATCAGTTTTGGTCATGTCGTTTTGTTCTGATCCTTTATTCATTGCGGAAACAACGAGAAAGTATCGGTTATCGGATATAACACCACATTTTTGGTCTGTAAATCGCACTGCGCGAAGTGGTTTCTGTTCTTACGTGTGTTAATTTACATAAACAAATTATTGTACGCTTCGTCATTTGCTCATGAATAATTCAAAGTACCACTTGGTATTGAAATGAATGTTTGGGAAATCATTAGAGGCTCTACCTGCCATATTTTTCAATTGTTCAAAGATGAAGCTTGTACGGTATTAGTCAATATGTAAGGGTGTGGGTGAATCAATGCTTAAATATATTTATTTGAAAAATTACTGTATTTATTTCAAGAACGACACGTGTTGTAAACCATGCAAAATACATTATAATGGGATGACTTTTATATTTCAATAATCTATTGACTTAAACGTCCTAAAATTACCGAGCATTTTAGCATAGATGTCTAGCAAGTACTTGTATGTACTGTCATCCAACGTAACAATGGCCTATCCAGCTACCCAGTGCTTTGATATGTTCGCAGGGTGATTAGTCTTCTCCAACTTTCAATCTTACAGGGCGCGGTCGTCGCACCACGTTCTGTTCGATAGCGACGTATTCTCGGGTGCGGAGCAACGTCACAAGACGTTCCATGTTGCTAAGACGCCCACCACTGTACCACGTATTTCTATGGGCTGAGCAACGTGGAAAGCCGAGCGAAGAGCCGGTGACAATTCGAGAAAACAACAGAAACTCAACTTTGAAGTAATCCTGAACAATCAAATTTATATGCGTTACACATGCAGGGGTATTCTTGTTACACTGTTCAGGGGAGACAACCACCCCAAAGTACCGTTTTATGAGAGTTTTCGGCCTTTGTTTCACTGTAATGGTTGCCATGAGCTGAAAATGCATGTCAGCTCCCGAGAATTTATTGTGTTTTTTTACATGAAACTGGAACACGAGCTGCATGACAACCACCGCACTCTAATTTATCAATGCTCCCCATTTAACTTAACAAATATTTATATTCATGATATTGTGTTGTGTTATTCAGTAAATATTTACTGCATTGCCAACAGAACAAATCAGTTTATAAATCATAGACATCTTATATGTGAGTGTCTGCCAGTGTATGATGCTATTTATTAAGCGTGAACAGGATATTCAATATAAACCTATTTTTCGGCATATTTCTCTAATGTATATAGTATGTAGTCTCTTGAGATATTGATTTCCACTCTTGTAAAAATCTAATAGCAGAAATATGGTAATCCAAATTCATATTCAAATGTATATTTAAATGTATTTACTGGGGTGTGTAAATAAAATTTAAAAATATCATTTTGTATGTTTCTCTTTGGCAACAACAATGACCCGACAAAGGTTTTATGAAGCGCAAATTCATAAAAAAAAATAGTATTTCCTTCAAATTCATGATATTAACCGTTTTAAAAAATTAACAATTTGTAGTTTAAATTTTCGATGTTTCCGATGTTCCAATAACCACTTTCCGATATTTCCAGGGTTTCCAATTTTCACATAGACTTTACATACATTCTCTTGTTTATTTTTTGGTGTTTTTGGATAAAAAAATTAAAAAGGGAATGTGTAAATTGCGAAAGGCGGGATACTAATGTTAATGAACAACAAGAGACTTATACAAGTCTATGTTTCAGAGTTTTCATTCGACGTTGAGATCACTGCTAATCGCCGATCATCGGGGAGTAACCTTAGAGGGCGGTGTTTATGTGAGTGACTTGAAAAATGTATCAAAATACAATGCTTTGTAGCATGGAGCTAATATATTCATAGCTCCATGCTTGTATTGAAATAAACGACATGGTTGTACTACAGGCCGAGGACAGGCGTAAGATTGTAGTAGTCTGCTCCATTTTATTTCCTTTCTCGGGTTTTTAAAAAAAAACAATATTTTTTTTTCGAGTTTCTAATTAGAAATACTATTTAGTATTAAATTTAGTATTTATAATTTTAGTTGAAAGTTTTAATTTTCACCTTGCCCTCAAACAATTAAAATCCCAAAATTACGTCAGCTTTATGACTGCTCGGGTGTAGAGTATTCATGTAAAATAAATTATGAGGCTGCTGAAGGCACAAACTATACTATTGTGACACCTGATATAAGTAAATTATATTTAGTACTCGCTATCCTAAGTAACTATTCAAACATTTATGCCACTTTATGACCTTCGGCGTTCTTAGATTATCTACTATTTTCATTTTCATTTCATTTTCGTTGTTATTCATATATAATATATATATAAAATGTCGATTAAATGTGAAATGGCGTAACATTCATTATACCAACTGAAAAAAAGTTATAGTGATTTTTTTTTCCCATTTTGTTATTAAATTGAGTATTTTCATGTTACCATTTTACGAATTCCCCGGGAATGTTATGTTTTTTCATTCGCCAAAACCGGGGTCTACACGGAACAATTCGTAACAGATTCATTACAACCACGGGTAACAAAACTCTATTGTTTATGGACTGCGTACAAAAAGGGGCTTTCCACAACAAACGATTTGTAAGCAATTACCCTATGACCTAAACAAATACACATACTTTACTCCACTGCAGTACGGATCACTAATGCGGATGAATATGCCTGAATATTTCGATCAAATATCACGCATAACTAAACTAAAATTTCTTGCAAAGAGTATGTAAAGCTTAGTACAATGATGTAATTTAATTTTGCTATACTTGCGATACCATAATAAAACTATATCAGAATTGTTTTTCGAGTACTACTTTCTGAATTTCCAGTGTATGAATACCTCATGAAACGATGGTGTTGCTTGGTTTCTCGGGTGGCGTCCTGGATCGTAAAAATAATATACTAGTTGCCGTATATATAAGTGCGTATTTACACACCTTTACGCTTTGTATGAAAATGTAGAACCTGGTTTCACGTGAAAGAACTACCCTCGGTGAGTACTAAGTTGTATTATCCGGTGAATGTGCACGAGATACGCCAGGAAATAGAAAAAAAGTCATGTACGATTATTGCAAAATAACTTTATCGACTTTCGGAACCCCGGAAACAAACATAATAATATTATTATGATTAATACTAGTAATTTTGATTTCAATGGCGTTTTCTGCTGTAGATTTATCATAATATATTCAATTATAAACACTCTCTAATCGTTTTATCCTACTATACTGCACAGTATTACTGTACACATAATACCGGCACCTAATACAATTTACACGACGTATCTCGATTCTAGCTTGTCACTTCGAAGAAAAGCTGCACTTTAAATGACCCTTCATGCGATTTATTATTAAGTAGACATATATCAAATCCAAGTGACTATTTCTCAATTTCGAATTTTCCAGAGAAATTCAGGGAAATGTGATCTGATAAGTACTGAAAGTGAAAATATTGACTTGATATAATTTTAGCGGATTTGATGTTGCATGCTGGGGAATTCACTAGGTGTTAAATTCACTGGTTTGTGAAGGAAACAATATACTCTATTGTAGCCCTAGGTCCATGGTGTTGTCAAAGTGAGCATTATTTATATTCAGTCATTGGCTGCCCACTCAACACCGTCACAGATTCTGCTATAGCAAAAATGAATGTGCAGCAAATAAATAACACTTACTCTAACAACGCTGTGGACCAAGGTCTAACTCTATTGTTAACTTTGAGTTTTAACTTAGCATGCTTAGCTATCAGCAAATTAAGCAAATAATCATCCTTATACAGTAGCTGTTCCTTAAATTTTCTACTAATGATGCAATCACTGACAATATAAAACAATTGTGTTATTTAACATTTCTATTTTTTTCTTCAGGCATGTGTCCTACTGATGTGTTTTACATGTGGTTGTAATTGGCAGAAATAGTAAAATTTGTTGTATTCACAATGTGTGACAGTCATTCACTCAGACCACACACCCCTGTTGGGGAGGTTGAACATGTACACCATTTATCAGAACAAATTGGCAATCTGTTCCTAAGCGAAGAATATAGTGATATCACTTTCATTGTTGAAGATAAGCGTTTCTATGCACATCGTGTTATATTAGCTGCAAGATGTGAATATTTCAGGTAAGTGTACCCTCTGTATTATTAGTTTCTCACAGATCCTCAGCATGGACTTATTACTAAGAGATCAAAAACGTTATTCTCTACCACAGTTCCTTAAAAGGGCTATTTGCATACTAAGAAATTTGTATGTATTTGCATATAGCAAAGTGTTATTAAGCATCATTTGCTACAGTTTGCCACTGTGGCTTAATTAAGTACTACAAGTATGCCATCTAACCGGACTGATGTTGTAGGAATCCTCAAAAATCAAGTTGAATCAGCTTGTTGACTGTTGGGGAGGTTGGTGTTCAAGAAAAAATAAAATTATACATGGCTGTATCACCTTGAGGCACAAACAAAATGTTGTGTTCCCTGAATTTATTACACTCATTTTGTTTTTAAAATGTGAATTTCCTTTTACCAAATTACAAATTCCATATCTATATTAAAATGATTTAAGATCGCTATATCAATGTGACATGCCAGTGAATTAGTACAACTAGTTGCATAACAGCAAATCTTTATGCATAGTGGAACATCATATTGACTCAGAGAGCAAACTCGATACAACCCTGGGGATGGATGGGACGAATTTATGTTTCTCTCAATTGATAGAGCAAGACAAAGCATGCAAACTTCACTCTGGAACACCAATTGAAAAATCATTATTAAGCTTCAGTTTGAAAACTGAGCAGCTTTTTGCAAAAATCAGGGTAGTAAACAATTGCGAGATGGAAAGAATCCTCGCAATATGGTGATAGTTAGGCTCAGCCGCATCAGTCTAAAAAATGTTCAACTCTTTCTCCTAATTCAGATCGAGTTGAAAATCTGAATTTTGTAGTTTTTGTTAAAAAAAACTAGCAGGATAGTAATTTATAATAATTTGATTTGGCTGTTTTACAAAACCTTAAAAATTGTGTACTGATGAATTGTGTTGTTTTGCTTCTAGGGCACTCCTATTTGGCGGAATGAGGGAGTCAAGACCCGATTGCACGGAGATTGAACTGAAAGATACTACACCAGTAGCATTCTGCGCATTACTCAAATACATTTACACTGGTAGAATGAATCTACAAGACCTGAAAGATGATGCGTTATTGGATGTCCTTGGTCTTGCACATCGTTATGGATTCACTGATTTGGAGATGTCTATTTCAGATTATCTCCGTGCAACGTTAAACATACACAATGTGTGTTTGATCTATGACGTTGCAAGTCTCTATCAGCTGAGGTCACTTAAAGACACTTGTTGCAGTTTCATGGATAACAATGCTGCTGAAGTGATGAGTAGTGAAGCATTTCTAGCATTATCGGAGGCAAGTTGTATTCTCAGATTCATAATGTCTTGTGTTTGCAGCATGTCAACATTGCCTCTAGTTAGAGTACTGCATTTGCTCTTTTAGAAAAACTCATACATGAATTGCATTTATTGTATATACTTCATTAATGTCAGGCATATTGGTGGTGGGTTTTCATCTTCTTAGAAGAAATTATAACACATACATCAACATTTATCAATTTTGGGGGTTATAAACCTAAAGACCAGCCAAAAACAATTTGGCTAGAACTTGATGTGAACTCTTTACAACAGCTAGACTTGTAAGAAATCAATCTTTATTGTGTAGGAGGATCTATTATAAAACCCTACAACTTATTTTGACTATCGACACCCCTTTTTGTGATTTACAGTGCATGCACTACTAATAAAATAAATATGATATATGCTGATGCAGTACTGGTTCACAAAACTGTGTTGATTCCCTGTGTTTCAGCAGGTTATCACTATGGCTAGCCTATCAAAAAACATTTTGACACTACTCTAGTGTTGTTATGAAGTTTGCATTTTACCTGTCTTCAGAATTTGAAACTCAGTCCAAGTAAATACATTTTTTATCTTCTATTTATTGTGTAAGTTGGATAAATATATGTTCGTTTTTCTTCTTTCAGTCTGCTTTGAGAGAAGTTATCTCTAGAGATTCATTCTGTGCTGTAGAGATTGATATATTCCGTGCTGTATTATCCTGGAGTGAGATGAACAGTGACATTGACCCAACCCACATAGTCAGTGCTGTAAGGTTACAATTGATGTCTTTACCAGAACTACTGAACATTGTGAGACCAACTAACCTTGTCTCACCTGATTCAATACTGGATGCAATTAAGTTGACTTCTGAGAGCAAAGCCAGTGATCTTCCATTTAGAGGATTTCTTTGTGAGTATAAAAACCAAGGTCTATCACTGAAGCATGAATAATGGATTTACTGACTCGTGTTTTTACCAAAGACGTGTACACATATACCAGTAGTTACAGTAGCAACACCCCCTTGCCTTGAACATGCATGTGACTATTAACTCATTCCATAGTAGGTGTGTACATGTAGCAATGGTTTGTAATATATACTAATAAAATATTCAGTAATTTTAGAAAGTCAAAAAAGGCAAAATTGTTTGCCTTGTACATCTTGTGTAGTTTCCAGCCATGGTCAGTATACTACTGTTTTTGCTCGATTGAAGAAATTCTAATTTTATTGGTATATATTTTTCTATTTCTTAGCCTTGGAGGAGAATGTAGCCTGCATGAAGCATGGTGGGCATGTGACCCATGGTGAAATGCCTTCAGCACTATTAGATGGCGATATATCTAATTATGATTTAGACAGAGGCTTCACAAGACACACAATAGAAGAACCTTGTGGTAAAAATAGTATTGTGGTGAAATTAGGCAAAGCTTGTATTATTAATACTATTAAATTACTGCTTTGGGACAGAGATACAAGGTAAGATGACATGATGATCATGGTAAAAATAGAGATTAAATAAAAGGGTGTTAGATTATCAAAAAGGGTGCACTTTAGAATGATAGTTATTGTTTTAGCAACTGTGCATATGCGTTACTATAGAATCATTAATTTTATGAGGATTTAATTTCACTATTTGGATATTTTGAGCATATTTACTAGGTTTTAAATTCACCGATTTTTTAGTGAAAGAATAAATTCTATTGTAATTTCAATAATTAATACATTCACAGTAATTTAAAAGCTTTGATTTGTCTACTTCTAAATTAAAATCTTTGGCTGTGGAAAAGATTGCCTTCCACACTCCTTGGCACAAATGGTGTGTTTACAATACATTTTGATTATAGCATTGCATTGAATGATACTCTCACTCTATATGTATGTATATATACTGTGCTTTTTTTAGGTCATATTCTTATTACATTGAGATTTCCATGGATGAAGAAGACTGGGTTAGAATTGTAGATCATTCCAGATACATGTGTAGATCATGGCAGACATTATACTTTGATCCAAGGGTTGCCAAGTATGTGAATTTCATCTCTCTTTGCATAGTATATACTAAATCATTCACATAATTTTACTATAATTTTTGAAACATTCAAAACATTAATTTTAAATCAAACAGGCAGAAAATGATCTTTCTTATAGATTATATTGATCGAAGAAATCTAATTTGAATGGTGAGAAAATAAGTGCCAGTAAGTGCTAGTATTTTTAATTAGAATATTCTACAAGTTTGTCTTTTTACATTTTCCAGGTATATACGAATAGTTGGTGTTCATAATACTGTAAACAAAGTATTTCACTTGGTATCATTTGAGTGTTATTACACTGCTAGGCCATTTACATTGGAAAATGGTCTCATAGGTATGTATTTCTGTCTGTCTGTCTGTCTGTCTGTCTGTCTGTCTGTCTGTCTGTCTGCCTGTCTTCCTGTTTGTCTGTCTGTCTGTCTTTCTGTTTGTCTGTCTGTCTGTCTGTCTGTCTGTCTGTCTGTCTGTCTGTCTGCAGATTTCTGGTTTTATTGTCAATTACATGTACCTTAAAAGCACACTTCTAGTAAAGGCACATGCAAATATTTGAAGCCTTTGACTTTTCAAACATTCATTATTATTTTGGAACTGATATCAGTCCACCTGCCCTATGGCTGATATAATTCACTGCTGTAGCACTGATTTGTTTTAATTTTTTTTTTTCTAGTGCCAACTGAGAATGTGGCTACAGTTCATGCCAGTGCATGTGTGATTGAAGGTGTAAGTAGAAGCCGTAATGCTCTGCTGAATGGTGACACTAAAAATTATGATTGGGATTCTGGTTACACTTGTCATCAGCTTGGAAGTGGTGCCATTATAGTACAGCTAGCGCAGCCATTTGTCATTAGTTCTTGTAGGTGAGTCAATTGTATACATACATACAGTGAGTGTTAATTTTCTCATTACAGTCAGCGTGCAGGCATTTTAAAGTTGCAACATATGATATTAAATGTGTTTGTTTGCTTGCTAGGCTGTTACTGTGGGATTGTGATGATAGAAGTTATAGTTATTATATTGAGATATCAACAGATCAACATAATTGGACTAGAATTGCAGATAAAACCAGAGAACCTTGCAAGTAAGTTGTACGACTGTAGCTGTGTTGTTTCTTCATCTCATTTTGATTTCTTAGTTTGATTCGCATCAAATTAACCTGGTCATATGTTTTTATGTACTACCAACGTTTGTGATTCATAAGATGAGTTTTGGTGTGAGCAACATTTTCTGAAAGATGGTGTGACGCTCTGTCCAAGTGACCCAAGTGAAAAATACCCTATTTTTTTCATCTCTTGTGAACTTAAAACGGTTTACAGTAATGTACCTAGTTGCTTGTAAACATTCAACTGTTTGTTCCAGTTCATCATCTTCTGATTATTTCCTATCCCCAGGTCTTGGCAGACTGTGTTCTTTGAGAAAAAAACGGTGACATTCATCAAGATTGTTGGTACTCATAACACTGCCAATGAGGTAAGTAAAACGCATTTCAGTTTTTATTGCTTCCTCATTTCACCACTGGGTTTAATCTCAAATAAAATTCTGGTCAGCTTTAATGTACCACAATGGGATGTGATATCACTCGGCCACAACAATCATGTTAAAATAGCTAGCCTTATTACACTCTCTCTGTCAACTTTGGGTACCTTCCTGCAAATTCTGTTGTAGTTGCATTTCATGATGCATAACAAATTTACTTGTGTTTATAGGTGTTCCACTGTGTACATTTTGAATGCCCAGCACAGTTAAATGGTCAAGGTCAAGATGAACTGTCAACGTCTTCTGCAGCTTCAGCTGCTGCAACTCAAACTGATGGATCAAGTGGAAGCGGATTACAGGGAGCTGTAGCTGGGCCGCCACTGCCACCTTTCCCCAATCAGTTATTCCCGGGTCCCGGCATGCCACCGTTTCATCGATACATGCCAGGAGCAGGTGATGGCATGAATAGATTTTAGGGAAGGCTGTGAAAAACAATTTGTGTGTATTATTTAACAAATAACCTTAATGGCTGGTTCCGTTACTTTGATAGAATTAATAGGTCATTTAGTGACTGAAAGCATTTTTTTTCAAATTATTCTCGCCTCCACATTAGGCAATGCCTTTCATATTTATTTGGAGTTTAAAACAATATGAAACTATAATAAACTGTATCAATATTTTATTCTCTTTCTCAGGTTAGATAGTTTATGCATATATCCAAGCAGATGTAGTTTTAAATCGGCACAATTCCAGATAATATTAGTTGACTATATTTGATGTATTATTATGAACTAGCCACTTCTTAATTCATGTGTTTACCACATATTATTCAGTCGGAAGGTAAGATAAATGCCAGCTAGTAAGCATTACATGTAACATTGATTTTACAATGAAGCTATCATTGATTTCAAACTTAAATTACTTTATTATTTTTAGTTCAGATAAACTTATTATCATATAAGAAAGTTGATTTCATCCAATGAATGTTAACGCTGCTGGCCAGGACAGTACATTTATTAATTTCTGCTTGAATTTTGCTTTGAGAAAGTTTTGTATTTTTTGTATCTTTGTCTGCATAATAGTACATTTGTGTCAATACACTAATGTTTACTCAAGAATTTATAAGACAAGTGTATGTAACTTAAATATCTACATATGGTAATATAAGAAGAAGTTATCATTTTGTGTACATCACTCATGTTTCAAACCAGTCGCATCACATTAAGCTTGGAAACGTTCAATTGCATAGCACAAAATGCATGCAATACATGCTTTACAAATAAGCATGTACACTAACAAAATATGGTCAGAAATGAGCACTAAACAATTCTTTCACAGACGTCTTCATTTACATTGTGTCACTTCAGATGGATACAAAATTATGATGACTAATTTGTTTTAACTATTAAAGTGACTTGTCCTAGTGTATATTGGAGACAAAACTTTATATTTTAGACTTAGACATTGATTCCTGAAGTGCCCGATTTTATTACTTAATTATTCTCTAGATTTGCCAGCAAAACCACAATTTCTTGAAAAGTAGCTGATTACCATTTATATCGCATTGAATGGGAATGTATTTGTCAGTAGATTTTGTTTCTGGGGTAACCCCCCTCCAAGTACCGGGATGTGTTACCGATACTTTTAAGGGTCATGTACAAAACATATTGGGTTATATTCAGATTTCGTTTACCTGCATTGGAAAGATGTAGACTTGTGTTCTTGCTTGTAAATTTGTTGTAGAAAAAAAGCATTCTATCACTTTTATGTAAATTTTGTATACCATTGTTGTTGGTGGTGGACCATAAACCGTAGATGCATTTATGAAAACTAGATTGTTGTTGGTGGTGAACCATAAACCGCAGATGCATTTATGAAAACTAGTATTTTTGTTTTCAAGATTATTCCTGCCAATACTATATAGATCCTACCGATATGTCAGTTTGACAATGTTTTGAACAAAAACTACAGGTGTGTATGTATTATTATATTCTCGACAAACAAATAAGATTTATATATAACAAAAATATTTCCCACTGTCTAAATTAACAAAGTATGTACAAACACAAGTTCCTTTCGATTTTGAATTTAAAGCTAATGTCATGAGTCTGTTTTCTTTTATGTCCCAAATGGATTTTTTTATTAGGCTTATGTACATATTTTATCGTGAAACTGTCAACCATTTACGTGGTACATTAATATTTACTACAGAAAGAGGTAAATAGCTTATATTGGAGATGACTCCCTGTTTCTTGTGTGTACCCCGGTATGTACTGAAGTAAATGCTTGCTTGTATTTCTTACTGCAGTATACTCTGACCTTGATCTAATCCATGATCATAACTGGCATTTTATTAATTATATACTTTTAAGTTGCTTATTACTTTGCAATGTACTTGACCCAGAAACTTTGGGAATATTCACAAATTAAAATCTGGTAGCAGCAACAATTATTTCGTTTCTGTGTTGTCTGTCAACCCCACCCCAAATTCTGGTACTTCAGCATGTTCGGAAACGTTTCTTGGAAATGAACATGGCTATATCTTTCAAACAATTCATGATCATTCATATTGGGTTACAGCTGAACAACATTTTTTTCAGGCTTAGGGCTAAGATTGGTGTCATGAACTTGTGGGCACAATAACTCGATTAAGTTTAAGTGTATATAGTGTGGGGAAAGTGCAAGTGGAAAATTAGAGAGATCAAATGCGTAATGCCAGGCCTGTGTTGCTAGATTGCAGTGTGTCTTGGGGAAAGTGGAAAATAATGTGATCAAATGCCATGCTAGATGTACTCTCAATGCCACAAAGGTATTCCCTTCATCTTTATAAATATTTATAATTGTTAATGGCAGTTGGCAGTCTCAAACCACATAGCTCTATAGTCTTGTTTGCTCTATGTTTCCTTTATTTCAGTCCTTGCCTTTATTATCCTTAGCTTTTATTGATTAGCACTAAAATGGCAGTGTTTCGGCCATCTTGAATCAGCTCATGAAGCGAATGCACGTACACATGTATTGTAAGACGTACATGTGAATATTGAACATATCGAACGTGCTTGGTCTAGTCATGTTCATCCCAATTGAGATTAAAACTGTATACATCTTACTTTTTCTAAAAAAAATCGCAATACACATTGGTGGAGTGAGATTTGGCTTCCTACTACTAATAACAAGACTGTGTCGGCAGGTCGTATGATTCCGCTCCCTTGAAATACAGTCTTGTAAGGAGGGCTAGCTTCCTACATAAAATAAGCTCAGATTCGGTACATTTTCCGGAGCCGTTTCTCAGACATGCTGTGACCAAGCTAATTTGAACTTAACATAAAGATAATGTATGATGACTTACATTTGTACGACAAATATGGCCGACTCGTGACCATTTTGGACCTTAAATTCTGATATTTAAATGTGTCTGGAAATGGTTTTCAGAGATGGATTTCATTCAAACTTTATATCATGATCATGCATAATGGGTTGCAGGTGCACGTCAATTTGTTGATACATACAAATGACATAGGGGACGACGTCAAAAGATCGATGTCGGATAAAAAACTTAATTCCTTTAGTTTTTTTCCAAACCCCCCTACCCCCCATTGAAACTTAATTGATAAATATTGGTCATGGCGTCTGACTACATTCACCATTAAATACAAATTGATAATCGGACAGTAGTATTGCATAGCAGTTGGTTGTCGGGTGGGTGTAAAAAGATTTTACAAATGCACCTCATTTGACGCACAGATTT